CCCCCCACCGACAGAGACGAGTGAATGGACGTGTGGACTTTGAGAGATCCTGGGCTGACTACCGGATGGGTTTCGGTGACCCGCACGGCGACTATTGGCTTGGTCTGGACGACATGGCTGACCTCACCAGACATGTAAGTGAAGACGGGAAACTCGTCGTAGTCCCGTCCCAAACTAAATACACTAAGCTAAGTGTTCTCTCAACGCATAAGCGGACATTATCCAATACTGGCATAGGAATATTCTGACACAACACCAAAGTTAGATGGACCAGTAGGTCCTGCAGTCCACATACTCTGTAGAAACTTACAGCCCTGCCTCACCACCCCTTTTCTTTTACTACTCATTGTCTCGTGCTCATCTGTAAGCAGATGCTGTCTTCGTTTGTTGCCACACCACTAGACTCACTGTCCAGACTGAACCATCATGGGATTTGCTGGGTGTGCTCACCTTTTTCAAGACGTAAAGGTGACTGACAGACACAGATGTACAATTTTAACCAAACAACTCACTGCCCTTCTCTCACACGCTTCTTTTGTCTTTAAGTATTATCCAGGCCTCTAAATTGTTCATTCATGCCATGTTAGAACGTAAACAATGCTTTAAGTACAGGTTACCACTCATTTATTAATAGAAAACTTTGCTGAAAGTTCAAGGTGGGGATAGTACAATCAATGCCCTCAATCTTTCGTTAGTTTTTACTATTAAACCAGAGAGTTTTTACAGTAATACAATCTGATTAAACCACGTGTATTTTTCCTCCCAGCGTGACCAAGATCTACGAATAGACTTTCTATTCAAAGGCAAAAACTATACTTTCCCTTACCTCCCTTTCCGCGTGGCGCCCCTTCAAGACAACTTCCGGTTAGACATGGGATCATACATAACAGATGAGTTCTACCGGGTTCACAACGGCGCAGTATTTTCCACGTGGGACAATGACAAGAGCGGAGGGTGCTCCAAGAAAACCTATAAGACGGGATGGTGGTTTGTACGTTGTCATCAAGTCTACCACAACGGCGTCTGGCGCTCGACCGAGTGGGCTAAAATGATTGTCTGGGCAAGTGTCACGGGGAATTATGAGGGTGCCGATTTTGTCAGCATGAAAATCCGACGCCACGCTAACAAGTGAGATTCTTAGTCTGCGAGCAGTTGCGAAGGCTAACTTGTTTGTCGAGGCATTCAACAAAAATTCTTACTCGAGACGGCACCACTGGGCTGTGAATGAAAACAAATCCTGAGTTCATATTGTATGTTCCTTGGCAAACGTAATCAGGAAAATGTCTCATTAAATGTGCATTCCCACTTTGGGCAAAACTTAATTTAACACTAAATTTAACTAAAGATGTGAATCAAGTTGTTCCCTCATCCGACCCAGACATTAAGGATTGTCTTGTTAGTGAGACAACTTCCTGGGCCTTCGGCATATTGCAGTAGGGTGGCCACGCCGCCTTCACTCCCCCAACTCGAAGTCAGATACCCATTACTGCTGGGTGGGCAGCAGGGGGCGAAAAAATCCGTGTCCGAACCGAGGCTCGAACTAGGACTTTCCGCTTGCGAGACGAGCGCACTAACCGCTCCGCCACCGCACCCTCTCAAAGATATGAATACACAAACAAAAAGCAAAGAAGCAGAGGTGACAATACTATATTTATGTATTCTCATACGTTTTAAGTTTGGCTGTTTTTGTCTAGCCTTTTCCGGCCAGGAGCAGGTATCATAATCATGTCATGATCTGATGATAGGAAGGTAAAGAGTCGAGGAAAAAAACAAGCTCTCACAGTAGTCATGAGATTATTAGGAGTTAGTTCCCCTCACTTTTTTGGGGTAGACTCTACCAATTCACTTATTAGCTTACATAATCAGTATTTGTGACTGCTTATGAGAGTGGCCCGAAAGGGGTGAACAGGATATTTATGTTGCAATGAAGCAGTTTTTGGTGTTGTGAACACGGCTCAAGGAGCGGGGGGGG